TTTGAGATATAATTACTTTATTTTTATTTTTAGTTGTAGATGGACACAATACCTTTATTTTTATTTATTTATTTTTATGTGGTGCTGAGGATCGAACCCAGTGCCTCACATGTGCTGGGCAAGTGCTTTACCACTGAGTTATAACCCTAGCCCCCATAGATTACTTTAATAAATACAAAATTTTCTTTCTCTTTGTATTCTGACACTAATTCTCTCATATCTACTGGGTGTTCTACAATTCAGTTCAATTTTTTKGGGGGGCCAACGGGGTATTGAATTCAGGGGCACTCGATCGCTGAACTACAACCCCAGCCCTATTTTGAATTTTATTTAAAGACAGGGTCTCACTGAGTTGCTTAGGGCCTCACTATTGCTGAGGCTGGCTTTGAACTGGAGATCCTCCTGTCTCAGCCTCCTGAGCTGCTTAGTTCCTTGCTAAATTGCTAAGGCGGGCCTTGAATTTGCAATCCTCCTGCCTCAGCCTCTCAAATCAATAGGATTACAGGTGCACCACCATGCCTGGATAGTACTAATTTTCTGTTTCTATCTGTACTTCTAATAAGAATTCTACTACATGGAAAACTTTCCCTTCTGATTCATATATATTTATGGACTCATGGATTTCTATTTTATGAATTATAATCCACAATCATAATTATTTTGGAGGTTTAAATTGCTCCATTTTACTTTTTTTGGTACTGAGGGTTGAACTTAGGGACACTCAACCACTGAGCCACATCCCCAGCCCAATTTTTTTATTTTATTTAGAGACAGTTCACCAAATTGCTTAGCACCTCTCTTTTGCTGAGGCTGGCTTTGATACTCCTGCCTGAGCCTCCCAAGCTGCTGGGATTACAGGCTGTACTATCATGCCCAGCTCCATTGTACTTTTCAAAATCATATTTATGCAGGTATAAATCAACACATGTAATATGACGTTTTTAAAGTTTTTTTTTAGTTGAAGATAGACACAATACCTCTATTTATTTATTTATTTTTTTGTGGTACTGAGGATTGAACCCAGTGCTAGGAAAGCATTCTACCACTGAGCTACAACCCCAGCCCCTATGATCACATTTTATAATTATGAATGTGAATAAGAAAAATCCTGCAAGAATATAAACACCAGGCTGAGGTTGTGGCTCAGCAGTAGAGCTCTTGCCTAGCATGTGCGAGGCTCTGGGTTCGATCCTCAGCACCATATAAAAATAAATAAAATAAAGGTATTGTGTCCAACTACAACTAAAAAATAAATATTAAAAAAAAAAGAATATAAACACCAAGAATGGTTATCTCGGAAGTAAAAGTAACTGTAATTATTTGTTTTTTCGTATTTTCTAAATTTTCCAAAATAAAAGTTTTATTACTAGAAAAGGTTAATAAATACTATTTTTAAAATAATTTTTGATAGTAAAAATTGGCATGTTCTAAATTTACAGATGGTAACTGAAATTTATCTAAAGAATGTCAGGTTATGTGCATTCTTTGGCCAGGTGCAATGGCATATGAGTATAATCCCAGCCTTGGGAGGCTGAAGCAGTAGGATCACAAGTTCAAAGTCAGCCTCAGCAATTTATTGAGGCCCTAAGCAGCTTAGCAAGACCCTCAAAATTTTAAAAAGGGATGGGGATGTGGCTCAGTGGTTGAGCAAACCCTTGGTTCAATCTCTGATACAAAAAAAAAAAAAAAAAGAGCTACTGGAGAACTGTAAATGGTAGGTAAGAGCTGAGGCAATTTAAAAATTCCAAAATTATTTTGCTCAATTTGTTTTTAGTAAAAATTGTTTTTGAAATCAAATAACATTAGAGAGTGTGATATACAACATAATACATCTGGTCTTTGTCCCCAATTTCTGGCACAGAGCTTCAAAATTTCCTAATGATAGGAGTGTTTTTGTTATGAATAATGAACCCCTTCAACCATACTTGAGTTCATCCTATTGAGGTAACTCATTCATGAAGGGGGTTAGTCACCAGAAAAACCAAGTCCCCCAAGGATGAATGAGGGACTAATGTTTGAATTCAACCATATTAACCAATGATTTAGTCAGCCACATCTACATAACAAGACCCCCTATAAAACCTCTGAACATCAAAGCCCAGGAGAGCTTCCTGGTTGGTGAACATGTCAATGAACCAAGGTGGTGGCACACCCTAACTCCATAGGAAAGAAGCTTGCAGGATGTTTACATGGTTTCAAAGTATCTCCTTCCAAGATACTTGTTAATTACCAAAAGAAAAATAATAACTCTCCTATGGAGAAACCTCAGACATCACCATATCCAAGTGATCTAGCTAACATCCCCAGTCATGGGGCAAATTGACATCATCTGCTGTCTGCTATGATGCACTGAGAAAAACATACTGGAATATTCCTGCTCAAAGGTTTAAAAGAATTTTAAATGTTAATGTTAGGAAAGATAAGAAAGGAAGGGAGGGAGGGAGGGAGGGAGGGAGGGAGGGAGGAAGGAAGGAAGGAAGGAAGGAAAGAAAAGAAGATTAAGAAATTTTTTTAGGGCTGAGGCTGTAGCTCAGTGGCAGAGTGCTTGCCTAGCATGCATGAGGCCCTGAGTTCAATCCTTGGCACCACACAAAAACAAACTAAACAAACAAAATAAAGGTATTGTGTCCATCTGCAATTAAAAAAAAAAAAAATATATATATATATATATATTTTTTTTTTAAGAAATTCTTTCAGATTGACAACAAAAGCAACATTTGATCTTAGACCATAAAAAATAAATATTTTCCTTTTCTGTAAAGGATAATGGTCAGACACATGAAATAATAGTATTGTGTTTGTGGTTAATTTCCTACTGTTAACAGTATACATTGGAGTTTGCTTTCAGGAAATATGTGTAAAGGTGTACTTATTTTCAAAGGGTCTTATGTAAACCTATTTGTAATAGATACAAATAAAGATATATAGAGAGATGGGAGGGGGGAAAATGATAATATAAATATGGTAAAATGATGTTAGTATGTGAGGAATCTGAGTAAAAGACATGAATACTTTGTATTCTGCAATTTCTCTGTAAATCTGAAATTTTTCAAAATAAGTTTAATAAAGTAAAATTGAACAAGATCTGGTTGCCAGTGAAATGGTGACTTGCATAATTGATGTTTATTTATTTTGCTATATGAGGGATCAAACCCAGGACACTTTACCACTGATATACATCCCCAACCCTTTTCATTTTTTTTATTTTGAGACAAAGTCTTCCTAAATTGCTGAAGCTGACCTTGAACCTGTGTTCCTCCTGCCTCAGTCTCTTGGGTAGCTAGGATTGTAGGGGTACATTGCTCAGCCCTGCTAAATTAGTGAATATTTTAATTATACTATGTGATATTTGTTTATGTATGTGATACATGCTGATACAGTCACCATTTCCTGTCTATATTATTAAGTTTTATTAGCAATTTTTTGGAAAATATAGCATAAGAGAAAGCATTGACTTTGCAATCTGCAGATAGATCTGCAACTAATATTTTTGTAAAATCTTGAGAAAATTTTTGTCTGTAGGTCCCAGGTTCCTTATCTGAAAATTTTCTGAAGAGCTATATAATTTGGTATTGCTGCTAGGTTCTAGCAATTCTGTGATCATGGCTTTGGACTCACTGATGTAGTAGGAACTCAGTCACACTTTATGGTAAGCCACTTGAAAAAGGCCCAGCCCTTCTCACACAAGAGAAGGTTTGTAGAAATCAGAGCTGGAAAACATCTATTAAAACATCTAATCTGTCCATCCACTAGTACTCAGTCGTTCACAGCAAATCCTCTCCTTCCTGTAGTGTAACCATTGATTATAGCCCTTTCCTTTAGTCATCTAGGAAGAGATTGTGATTGTTCTTAATTCTAAAAATATCTATTCTTTCATATTTAGACTTTACTTTTGAAAATTATAATTTGCTACTATGGCAGAGGCTAATAGGCAAGTTATTTTCCTCTGGAATCACAAAAGAATTTAGATGATAAACAGTTGAATGTCTAATAAAAGTAATTACTTGATAATAAAAATTATGTAAATACAAGTCAAATTTCAGAATAAAAATCAAGATTTTAAAGATAATATATTTAAAATGGAAAATGTAACAGATTTTTTTTTGTTTTAAATATATTTTAAAAGAAAATGTAGGAATGTAAAGAAATAAAGCACTGGTATTCTGTTGATGAAGATATAAATTGGTTTATTTTAGAAATAATTTATCAGGAGGGCTGGGGATGTGGCTCAAGCGGTAGCACGCTCGCCTGGCATGCGTGCGGCCCGGGTTCGAACCTCAGCACCACATACCAACAAAGATGTTGTATCCGCCGAGAACTAAAAAAAATAAATATTAAAAATTCTCTCTCTTTCTCTCTCTCTCTCTCTCTCTCTCTCTCTCTCTCTCTCTCTCTCTCTCTCTCTCTCTCTCTCTCCCCCTTAAAAAGAAAAATTATTTCTTTTTCTTTTTTTTATTTTTTTATCTATTAAAAACAAAAATCATGCATCATAACTAAAATTCTTAAATTCCACTACAAGGAAATTATTTTGTAAAAATACTAATTACTGCATTGTTTGTAAAAGTGAACATTTGGATTGTTTCCAAATACTTTCATTAAAGTGACGATTTTTATTTTCACAGCCAGAGTTGGGAAGGCATCATTCATTATGTCTCGGTTAGTGAACAGTTTCCAGAACAATCCAAATGTTCACTGTTGGGAAATCACATTAATAAGTTATAAAAGTTTATACAATGGATTCTTATATAGAACTCCCAAAAATAACATTGGAGGTTTTTTAATATTAATATGAAACAGATTTATTATTACTATTTTTTAAAAATTACATATATATACACATATATATGTATGTACATGTATATGTATGCTTTTAAATATTTTATTAAATTTGGATGCCTTTGAGTTTAGCTAATAAGTAATATATTTCCTCTCTGGCTGCTGGATTTGAGCTTATATAGAACCAAACACTTTCATTAAAGTGATGACTTTTCTTTTCACAGCTAGAGTTGGGAAGACATCACTCATTATGTCTCTGGTCAGTGAAGAATTTCCAGAAGAGGTAAACATTTTGATTTCTTTTCCATATTTAGAATTTTTAAAAAAATTATCAAAAGTAAGGGCTGGAGGGCTGGGGTTATAGCTCAGTGATAGTGCGCTTGCCTCATGCATGTGAGGCACTGGGTTTGATCCTCAGCACCACATAAAAATAAATAAAATAAATAAAGTTATTGTGTCCATCTTTCTTTTTTAAAAAAAGTAAGAGCTGGGATAGTGGCTCAGTGGCAGAGAGCTTGCCTCACGTATATGAGGCACTGGGATTAATCCTTAGCACCACATAAACATAAATAAATAAAGGTATCCATCTACAGCTAAAGAATATTTTTAAAAATTATCAAAAGTAAGTTAAAGTGAAATAACTCTTACTTTTTAAAAAATGTTTCCTTTTCAACAGTTGAAACTTTTTTTTAGTTGTTGATGGACTTTTATTCATTTATTTATATGTGGTGCCTCACACATGCTAGGCAAGCACTCTATCTCTGAGCCACAACCCCAGCCCCAGATGAAACTTTTTAAAGGTTTATATTAGTTTATAGAGGCATATCTGAGAAAGAATCAACTAGATCTAAGTTTACCAAGTCCTTTGTGTTTCCTGCTTTTGACCTTGTCTAGGACATTTGTCATCTTGGTGTCTTTGTCATCTCATCTGTAAAATGGAAGTTGAAAGAGATAATGAGATTGTATAACTCATTCTTAAAAATAAAATGTTACTTATAAGCCCCCAATATAAAAGAGATGATGAGTATTCTATGAGTTGAAATTAGGGTGAAAAATCTGGATCTCTGCTTGTTTTCCACTGCCCACTCTTTTGAGTGTTTATGCAGAACCACTAGAATTCTAACACACATATTTGGAAACATTTATCTACCTATCTCATTTTACAAATGAAGAAACTAATTCATTCTTCCTTTGCTCACAAATGAGATGAGCTTAGTAATAGTGAAGTGCCACCAAAAATCAGGTGGTTTTATTATGACTGACAGTATATATTTATTTCCACTTTCAAAGTTCTAGTGTGAGGGGCTGCTAGCTAAAAGTTAGGCTATTTCTATGGGGAATGGGATAAGTGCAGTAGAATGAAAATGATTTCTGTTTTTTTTTTTTCTTACATAATATTATTATTAGTAACACAGTTTGCATTTACTCTTTCTTTGCTCTTTTTTAGGTAGAAATAACAGTGTAATTTCATTGTTCAGGTAGAAATTTGATGTATCCTGTGTTAGGTTTTTTTGGTGCTGGGAATTGAATCCAGGGCCTTGTGCATGCTAAATATGTACTTTCCCACTGAATTACATTTCTATATGATAGTGTTTTCAACATCCACAACAACCATATGACCATTCATTGTTTCTTTTGCTTCCTGTCCCCTTAAATAAGATAGTCAAATAACTAATTACTTAGTTTGTAAGTATATTTTCATTTGTGGAATTGTTAACATTAATTTATAGTCAGTTGGGAAAGAGGTATAATACCTAAAGGTTTTCTGCAAAAATTTGACTTAGTTTAGAACTATTTTAGCATTGCCCTTCTGAGTATGGATAAGAGATTTTTAATTAATTTAAAAATTATATAGTCTTGGGCTGCGGTTGTAGCTCAGTGGTAGAGCGCTTGCCTTGCAAATATGAGGCACTGGATTTGATCCTCAGCATCACATAAAAATAAATAAATAAATAAATAAATAAATAAATAAATAAATAAAGGTATTGTGTCCAGTTTAAAAAAAGAATTGTTTGCTAATTTCTTTTCTTTTTCTTTTTTTTTTTTTTTAATATATAGTCTTGGGGCTGGGGAACATAGCTCAGTTGGTAGAATTTAGGTGCACTCTACCACCGAGCTAAGTGGTTCTTTCTTTCCAGCCCCTTTTTATTAAATTTTCATTTAGAGACAGCATCTTGCTAAGTCTCTGGGGCTAGCCTCAAACTTGCAGTTTTCCTGCCTCAGCCTCCTGAGTCTGTAACTACATATGTGTGCCAACATACTAGCTGAAAAATGAGATTATTAAGCATATGGCACATTAGGCAGCCAACTAGTTAACTTCTAGAAGTTAATTTGATAATTTACTGATTAATTTAAATATTGCTTTGTTTTTTGTGGGTTTTTTTTTTTTTTTTTCCCAGTTCTTGAGATGGAACCCATGGCCTTGTACATTCTAGGCAAGTGTTCTAAACTTAGCTACACCTCCAGCTCCTGAAAATTGTGTTGGATTACCATAGCTCCTCGTCTGTAGAGTATCTTAGGCCTTCAACAAAATAGAATGAGAATAATATATTTTAAAAACTAATGTTTGAAACACCAAATTAATTTAAGAATTGTTTTTGTCTACATCAGATAAAAAGTGTCCTTAATATGTCTTCTACCTACATAAGTAGAAATGTGCATTGTTTTTCAAAAGAAAAACCTTTTTTAGTTTTTATTATGCTATTAGAAAATGTTTTTATCATGTTTTTCATATATATATTTGCATCTGTGATAAGTAAAAAAATAAGAATTTAAAAAGTTAAGATATGAATTTACAAGGGGCTAATATAAATAAATTTATATAATCTGCTAACGAATTTGATAATATCCCGTAATTTTTTCCTTTTCTGCGTTTGTTTGCAAAAAAGGTTCCTCCTCGGGCAGAAGAAATCACCATTCCAGCTGACGTCACCCCTGAGAGAGTTCCAACACACATTGTAGATTACTCAGGTAATGAATGTCCTTTTGTAGGTGAAGCTCTAGAGTTAGTTTAATAGTCCTGAAGACAGTCTCATTGAGCTTTTAAAAATTCTCAGAGGCTGAGCACAGTACATGTCTGTAATCTTAGCATCTTGGGAAACTGAGATAAGAGGATCATAAGTTCAAAGCCAGCCTCAGCAACTTGGTGAGGCCCTAAACAACTTGGTGAGACTTTGTCTCAAAATCAAAAAAATAAAAAGGGCTGGGGATGTGCTCAGTGGTTAAGTGCTCCTGGGTTCAATTTCTGGTACCAAAAAAAAAATCAGAGAGAGAGAGGGTCCTTTCTCTGTTGTAGTATATGATATTCCCCTAATATCTCTTTCAGTCCGCATCCCCCATTCTACTCCCTACCTAAAGCCTCCATTTGGTAGTTCTCTGTCCCCCAAATACCAAATTGGGTTCCATAATAATAAAAAATAAGGAGGAAAAGTAAATGGCAAATGGTATATAAGTCATTACCCTGCTGAAATTGGCACGTTTACAGAAAGAAGCTCTGGGTCAATTTTGTTGTCATCCATTCAGGTATGTTTTGATGATTTAGAATTCTGAATTTAAGAATATATTGAATTCTGAATTTGTTTTTTGTCAGCTTTACTAGTCAGCTTTCTGTTACTGACAAAATACCTGAGATAACAACTTAAGAGAAGTAAATGTATACTTTGGCTCATGGTTTCAATCTATGGATGCTTGGCAAGGTTGCTTTTGGGCCTGTCATGAGGCAAGCCATGATGATAAAAGCACATGATACAAAAATGTTTACCTCTTGGTGGTCAAGAAGCTAAGAGAATAGAGAAGGGGTCTGAGACAAAATATACCCTTCAAGGGCACATCCCCAGTGACCTAATTTCTCCAATTAGGCTGTATTTTCTAAAGTGTCCATCACCTTCCAATAGTCCATTGAGCTATGAATGTATAATTGGATTATCCATTTATTATGTCAGAGCACTCGTGATCCAGTCATCTTCAGAAGGTCTCACCTCTGAACACTGCTGCATTGAGGATCAAGACTTCAACACATGAGCTTTGGAGGACATTTAGGATCTAAATCATATCATCAACCTTTGTCACAAATAAAATAAGTAAAACAGTTGTCAGCTTGCTTATATGTCAGAAACATATAAGCATTTTAAGCTTTTAATAACTTAAAAACTTTTTACATAATACTACTTACATTTTATTCATTTAATTATTTCTGATCTAGAACTTTTAGAACATGGATATAAATATAATGATAATACTTTGGATAAATTGATATTCCATATATTTTCAAAATAAAACACTATAACTGTACTGTCCAGTACCTATGGCCATTCTAAATTTTAAATGTTCTATAGCTGGGTATGGTGGCCCATGATGGTAATCCCAGCAACTCAGGAGGCTGAGACAGGAGAATCACAAGTTTGAGACCAGCTTTGGCAGCTTAGTGAGGCCCCAACCAACTTAGGGAGACCCTCTTTCAAATTTTTTTTTTTTTTTTGGAGAGAGAGAATTTTTAATATTTATTTTTTAGTTGGCGGATACAACATCTTTGTTTGTATGTGGTGCTGAGGATCGAACCCTGGCCGCACGCATGCCAGGGGAGCGCGCTACCGCTTGAGCCACATCCCCAGCCCCTCTTTCAAATTTTTTTAAACAATTTTTTTAACATTCATCATTCATTCATTCATTTATATGTGGTGCTGAGGATCCAACCCAGTGCCTTATGCATGGTGGGCAAGTGTTCTATCACTGAACCACAGCTCTAGCCCTCATCGCTCAAATTTAAAAAATAACAAAAAGAGCTGGGGATATAACTCAGGGTTAGAGTACCCCTGGGTTCAAATATTTTTTTTTAATTTTAAATTTTTATTTGTAGGTGGACACAACAACTTTATTTTATTTCTTTATTTTTATGTGGTGTTAAGGATTAAACCCAGTGCCTCACACATGCTAGACAAATGCCTTATCACTGAACTACAACTCCAGCCCTGGCTTCAATTCTCAGTACCAAAAAACAAACAAAAAACAAAGGGCTATAAATTTAAAATGCAACTATATTTTTAAGTGTTAGCATAAAAAATGTAAAAATATCTCATTAATTTTTCTATTGAGTGGGAGTTTTAATTTTTTAATTTAATTTTTTATATTTTGGGTTAAATAAGAATTAATTTTACCTCTTTTATCTTTTTTTTTTTTTTTTTTTTTGGTACTGGGGATTGAACTCAGGGATGCTTGACCTCTGAGCCACATCCTAGCCCTATTTTGTGTTTTATTTAGAGACGGTCTCACTGAGTTGCTTAGCACCTTGCTTTTTGCTGAGGCTGACTTTGAATTTGATCCTCCTGTCTCAGCCTCCCAAGCTGCTGGGATTACAGGCATGCACCACCATGCATGGACTCTTTTTACCTTTTTAAAGATAACTGCTAGAAAATTAACAATTACATATGTGGCTGCCGCAGCCCGGCTGGCTGGGCAAAATAACCGGGGGGTGACGAACAACTTGTGTACGTTGATACAGCAGGAGTGGAAGCCGTTTATTGTAGGACAACAGAGGTATTTATACATTCCACACAGCTTATCTTAATTAACATAAACTAGATACAGCAGTCAACCAATAAGGAATCTCCACACTCAATGGCTCCATGGCATTACCTCACAAACCACTCTCTCTGGCAAAATGCCAGGCGCCATCCAGACTTGTTTACAGACTCTAACATGTGGCTTGCATTGTATGTATGTTGAATAGCAGTATACTAGAAATTGAAGCCTCATAACTAGCTTTATTTATAGAATTATTCTTTTTTTGATACAGACAGCCTTATAATTTGATTAACTTAATTATTAGAATTGAAGCCTTGTTGACTACTCAACATATGGGAAAATATTAAATATACAGCCTTTTTTTTTTTTTAAGCATAGTATAACATACCATTACTAGTTTCTTTGTGAGAAATAACAGGCATTTGGGGGGAGACATGTAAAATGATCTAAATTAATTGCTCTTGATTTCTTTGCTTCCTCATCCTAGCTCTATCATGTATACCCTTTGAAAGCAGTTCTGGCTAGAAATATGTGCTTGATTCTTCATTGTCATGCTATAGTTTTGCTTCTGGGTCCTGGTTATTATTACTTCTACCTGCTATCTAGATTGTAAGCTTGTATTGACCAGATTCTCACGTGGCCTTTTGGACCCTGTTATATAGAGTCTATATAACACTTAGTTTTCTATCTTGAGTTGCTGATCTCTTTTGCCTGACCCTTTGTAACCCTGGATCAGATGCTGGCCTAGATTTATCACACAATGCCTCTGCTCTTCTATGCTCCGGCTACCTTCATTATGGATGTGTCTTTTATCATTAGCCAGCTTTCTTATCTTAGTTCAATTTTCTCTGCTCCTGGGTTACCCTGGTCTTTGCTACCCAGTCTTGATTTCTTTGCTTCCTCATCCTAGCTCTCTCATGGATACCATGGTAGAGCTATACCATGGCATTTTGAAGGATAGTAATTAGGTGTCACATGTATTATAGGTTGACTATTGGTTATAATGAAAGTGTTTAAAATGTGAACATTGACTTTTGTCACTTGTAGAAGCAGAACAGAGTGATGAACAACTTCATCAAGAAATATCACAGGTAAGTTTAAAAAATAGTTGTATGTTTTTGTTTTGTTTTTGTGGAAAAACAGTGATGACCCTATGTGTGTGCTCTTTTCATTTTCTCACTTAGCAAGAATTTTCAGTTATTTATTGTTGATGCTAATTTTAAACATGTTTTTATTGTGGATCCTTAGGAATATTTTTCTCTTTAGGGTTAAGCTTTTTTTTCCCCTTCAAAATTTTTCTGCCTTCGAGCCAAATATATTAACTAGTTGGTAATTAAATGCTAATGTTTGAATTTTTATTTTAAAATGACATTAATTTGTTAATTTTTCTTCTAGGCTAATGTCATCTGCATAGTTTATGCTGTTAACAACAAACATTCTATTGATAAGGTAAAAATATATGACTTTTTCCCATTATGTTTAGTTAAATTTCAATGGAGCACTTTCAAAGTTGATCCTCAATTTAGAATTTTAATGATTAGAAGACAAAATTTTTAATGATGATCTACATCATGATTTTGCTCTTATTCATTTTCATTTTAGGTAACAAGTCGATGGATTCCTCTCATAAATGAAAGAACAGACAAAGACAGCAGGTATTTTTTCTCTCAAACTTTATATTGAAAAATTTCAAATAGGAATTTTACCAAAAAGATGTGAGCAATAGTAATGAGCATCTGAAAACCCTTCACAGATCCATCAGTTGTTAACATTTGCCACATATACTTTGTCAGTTCATCTGTCTGCTTACATACCTACATACATCCCCACACACCTGTTTTGGGAGGAATCACTTGAAGCAGTAAGTATATTTGAGAGCAAAGAAACAGCACTATGCTAATAATTCATAATTACAGACAGATTAATTATTTTGATAATCTTATATTTTTGTTTCTCAAATTGCTGCTTGAAAGTCTCAGTTTTAGAGTGTATCCTCACCTGTATTTTGTGTGCACACACACCCTCTATTTTTATGGTGGTGCAGATTGAAATCTAGGACCTTATACATACAAGGCAAGTATTCTACCACGGTGCTAGACCCCCAGTAACCCTCTCTCCTATTTTGTACTCCTTTGATGAAGTATGGCATCATCGATTACTCATGGTGTGGGCAATTATAGTTGATTGTATACAGTGCAGTGTATGTTAGAGCAGGAACTTTGAAAAAAATGAACAACCCTTGAAATCTGGTTTGACCCTTTATGAGCTTGTAGACTTTGACTTGTTAGTTTCGTCATGTATAAGTGAGGATAAGGGTAATATCTGTCTTAGCTACATGTGGTTATATTGAGAATCAAATGAAATAATGCATATGTAAATACTTTATAAATTCTTTAAGTAACTCTTTAGGAATTAATAAAGAAAGATTTCTTTGTAATTCTTTGGAAGATGTAAGTATGACAGGGAAAAAGTAAGAGAGTGTGCATTCTGTATTTTTCTGAACCAGAATAGTAATTCTGAGCATAAACATTTTAAATTTAAATGGAAACAAAATATTTTCTTGCAATATTATTTAATTGGAATAACATTTATGAAGCGCATTTGAGTCTTAAATGTTAAGAAATTCAAACTCATATTTATTAATTGAGCACATTTGGTCCTGTACTCAATTTTTTAAAAATTTCTTTTCAGTTGAGCCTTTTTGTCTTTTGAAACTCTAAAAGCCTAGTTCTTTTTTTTTTTTTTCTTTTTGTTTTTTTTGTACTGGAGATTGAACCCAGGGGGTGCTTGACCACTAAGTCACATCTCTAAACCCCTGTTTTTTGGAGGGAGAAGTACTGGGGTTTGAACTCAGGGGCACTCAACCACTTAGCCACATCTCTAATCCTATTTTGTAATTTATTTGGAGACAGGGTCTCATTGAGTTGCTTAACACCTTGTCATTGCTGCGACTGGCTTTGAACTTTGCCATCCTCCTGCCTCAGCCTCTTGAATTGCTGGCATTACAGGGGTGTGCCACTACACCCAGTCAAATCTCCAACCCTTTTTATTTTTTATTTTGAGACAAGTTCTCACTAAGTTGCTTAAGGCCTTGCTAAATTGATTCCCTTATCTTATTCTCCTGAGTTGCTAGGATTACAGTTGTATACCACCATGCCCAGCTGAAAGTCTGGTTCTGAACAGATTAATGTGATCATTTATCTGTTTTACTTAGTTATGGAAGAGCAACTTTGGACTGAGATGGCATTGTAAGTGCTATGCCTAATAGCTCCGATGGTGCCTTCTTATCATGGTTTTAAACTTTATGGTGTCTTATTGACAAGATGGAAAGGGGAGAGTGGACCCTTTAAAGATGTGGTTCCTACTGCAGTAGTCTCTAGTCAGATTTGGCATTTTAACTTTAAATAAATTAAAATTAAATAAAACTAAAATTATAGTTTCTTCAATATGTTTAGTCACATTTCAGGAGCTTTATAGCTACATCTGGCTAGTTGTTAACAGTAATGAATGGGGCAGGTAAAGAATAGTCCTACCATCATAGAATGTTATATTGGACAGGGCTGCTTTGGAGGATCCAATACCTGTATGCTCCTGATATTTGTTCTTCTTCATTAAGCTATTTCTGGGAGGGACTCTTCAGAGAAGGCATTTCTGTATACATCTGTTATTATAAACCACTATGTTTTTGGAAAACATTCTGGATTGGTTGGGAATCAATATTTGGGTAATAGAGTGGGTCAGTTTCTTTAAGCATGATGGTCATAGCAGGGAGGTAAACTAAATGCTTCAAGGGTTTCTATTGCAGTTTCGAGTTCCAACAAGATAATTTGCTTTCTCCAAGCTGTCTTGTAGGATTCACAAATAACAGTTCTTCATTAGACTGATCCTCTTTGATAACTTATTTCGATTTCCCACAGTCTTCTCCAGATTTCACTTGTCTAAAACAAAATCTTTAATTCTCTGCCCACCCACTCTCCCACCAAGAAACAAAACTCCCTCCATCTTCTATGTCTTATGGAATCTCTTCATTTTCTCTAGCCAAAATCCTGTATATTTTTCCCTTTCCTTCAGCTTCTGTGTTTATCAGATACTAATATCTGTATTAGCTGTACTCCTAAAATGTGTCCTAAATTTGAATATTTCTTCTTCATCTTCACTATTATGCTCTATTCCAAGCTATCAGATTTTTAAAAAGCCTTTTCTAACTGGGCACAGTGACATGTGACTCAGGAGGCTGAGACAGGAAGATTGTAAGTTCATGGGTAGCCTCAGCAACTTAGTGATACCTGCAGTAATTTAACGAGACCCTATCTCAAAAAATAAACTAAGTGCTAGGGATGTAGCTCAGTGGTAAAGCACTCCTGGGTTCAATCCCCAATACTGAAAATAAAAGGGGAAAAAAGCTTTTTCTTTTTGTTTTGATGGGAGGAGGGGTACTGGGTATTGAACTCAGGGGCACTTTGGCCCCTGAGCCACATCCCCAGCCCTTTTTTTTTTTGGTATTTTATTTAGAGGCAGGGTCTCACTGAGTTGCTCAGTCCCTCGCTTTGCTGAGTCTGGCTTTGAACTCATGATCCTCCTGAGCCACTGGGATTATAGGCACACACAACTGCACCCAGAAAAAAAGCTTTTTCTTAATGAAAAAAATCAAACATATACAAAAGTGGAGAGAATAGTGTAATAATTCCCATGTATCTGTCATCCAGCTTCAACAATTAACTCACTGCCAGTTTCATTTCATCTATTACTCCTCCCATTGGAGTCATTTTGAAGCAAACTAACATACTGTATCACACTATGTATCTTTCAGTATGTATGTTTTAAAAGTAACAAATCATTGCATTTAAAAATGTGGATCAGATCCTGTCATGCTCCTGCTTATAACCCTTCAGTGGCTTCCATGTAAACTAACAGTAAAACCCACACTTCTTACTGCAGCTTTTAAGTCCTATATGTCTGGCTTTTGATCGTGTCCAGCCCCATTTCATAATTTTCATAACCCTTTTGCTCAGCATCTCTTCACTCCAGCATCTTTGACCCCACCAGGATTTTTTTTTTTTTCTCCAATTTGAGTCCTTTGAATGTGGTGACCCTTCTTCCCAGGTAGCTCTTCCTTGCTCTTCATATAACAAATTCTAATCTGGTCCTTCACTCCTTTGTTCAAATGCTACTTTGTTGGAGTGTTTTTCTCTAATTACTATTTGTAATTAACTTCTTCCATGTGCTCTATCTATCCTTTATGCCCCTTTTCAGTTCCTTCATAACACTTACTGAATTGAAAATTGTTTACTTATTGTTCATTTTCTGTTTTCAGTGTTAGAATTGGAAGAGATCTTCCTTGTCTTGTGTCTTTAATATGTTTGTGATTTATTACAGGTAGCCATTAAATATGTGTTCAATGGTTAGATGAAACTGCTATCTAGGGGGCTTAACCTGACTATAGTAAGAGTTCATGAGTTTTAATAAGATTTTTACTTAGAAATTCTGAGTTATGATGAGAATTAAATGTAGATATAAGGTCTTTTCTCTTTATTATTACAATTCCTATTCATTTCAGGCTGCCTTTGATATTGGTTGGGAACAAGTCTGATCTGGTGGAATACAGTAGCATGGAGACCATCCTTCCCATCATGAACCAGTATACAGAAATAGAAACCTGTGTGGAGGTATGCCTCATGAGAATTTATTATTGGTGAATTCTCACTAACCTGATATTCTGAATAGGAATGGGGGTGATATGTGATGGAATAAATTTTCTGCTCTTTGTGCACTCATGTAAACCCAAGTACAACAGAACTAGGCTGTGTGTAGACATTGATATTGTGATGTCCACAAAGGAAAATGCAGTTTTCAGTTTCTTCACAAAATCTGCCACCTTATTTTGATAGTTTTAAAATACATTTTTTGTTCTCATAATTGATTTACAGTATAAAATTTTTAACCTTTTGGGGCTGGGGATGTGGCTTAAGCGGTAGCGCGCTTGCCTGGTTTGCGTGCGGCCTGGGTTCGATCCTCCAGCACCACATACAAACAAAAGATGTTGTGTCCGCCAATAACTAATAAATAAATAAATAAATATTTAAAAAAAATAAATAAAATTTTTAACCTTTTCTTTTCAGTGTTCAGCAAAAAACCTGAAGAACATATCAGAGCTCTTTTATTATGCACAGAAAGCTGTTCTTCATCCTACAGGGCCTCTGTACTGCCCAGAAGAGAAGGAGGTAACCACCAGACTTGTTTACTGGAATGTAGGAGAAACTCTAGTATGATAGTGCTTTTTAGTAACTCTTATGTGTTTTTTGCAAAAGTTAAACTTTCAAATTCAAAATTTATTACTTTATTAAATAGCAACATTTTCTTAGTATTTTTCTTCACTGATATTCATGTTAAATATTCAGAATGTTTTCCAGATTAAATGTTTCTTTATTTGCCATTAAAGCAAACAGAAGAATTTGCAACAATAACAACAAAAAAATCCAAATATTTATCTAATTATTTATACAACTTTGCTATTATAAAATCTGAACTTAACACAGAAACAAAAAACTTGTGCTTTTTTAACAATCGTAGTACTGGGGATTGTGCATGTTTAGTGCTCTTGGTAGCTTTACCACTGAGCTACACTCAAACCTTTGTGTAGTTTTTAGAAATGAGTACAATATATAACTTGAATGCTCCTTTTTGTTTTATAGCTAGAAATACAGTTATTCCTTATTTAAATACTTAAAATTTAATAATATATTGCCATAAACTTAAGAAAAACTGATTATATTTTTTAAAATTTACATGCTATAAAATTCACGTTTTAAGATAATTCAATGATTTGCAGTATATTAAATACATTATGCAAATATTATCTAATTCTAGAACCTTTCATTACTCCCAAAAGAAATCCTGTTCTCAGTAGCAGTCACTCTGTAAACCCTCCTTTTCCCAGCTCCTTACAACAATTAATTTATTTTATTTTATTTTCCATTAATCTACTTTTATTTCTAGTTTTGCCTCTTGGATATTTCATATCAATGTAATCATACAAAATATGTTTTTTTTTGGTTTCTAACTTTTTTCACTTAGCATGTTTTCAAAGATTATCCATTCTGTAGCAAGTATTTGTATTTCTTTTTTCTTTCTTTTTTAAATGGTCAAATAATACATCATTGTATAGATACATTAGACTTTTTAAATTTCCTTATTTTTGATGAACATTTGAGCAATTTCTAATTTTTGGCTAATATGATAGACTGATTTAAATGTTCACATAGAATTTTTTGTTGAAACACTTGTTTTTAATTTGTTTGAATCTGTATTTAGGAGTGTAATTGCTGAATCAAGTGATAATTATATGTTTAACTTGTTGAGGTACCACTAATCTGTTTTCCATAGTGCCTGAATCATTCTACATTTCCACCATCAGTGTATGGGAGGTTCCAGTTTTTCCACATCTTTGCCAACATTTATTTTGCTCCTTTTTTGTTATTGTTTATTATAGTCATCCTAATAGATGTAATTGGGTCCTTTGCCTTTTTAAAATTATTATTATTATTTTTCTGTAGTTGTAGATAGACAGAATGACTTTATTTTGTTTATTTTTAATGTGTGCCGAGGATCAAACCCAGTGCCTCACAGATGCCTAGACAAGCGCTCTGCAGCTGAGCTACAGCCCCAGCTCGGCCTTTTTTTTTTTTTTTTTGTACTAGGGATTAAACCAAGGTGCTTCATCACTGAGCCACATCCTCAGCTCTTCCTATTTTTTGTTTTGAGACAGGGTCTCACTAAGTTGCTTAGAGCCCTGCTAAGTTCCTGAGGTTGGCCTCAAATTTGGCTATCCCGGTGCCTCAGCCTCCCAAATTGCTGGGATTACAGGTGTGTGCCACCACAGTTGGCCCTTTGCCCATTCTTAAATTTTGTTTTTTATTATTGAATTTTAGGAGTTCACTATATGTTCTCAGTATTAATCCTATATTCAGCTGTAAAATGTATAATTTGTCTTTTTTAAATTTTTTATTATTTTTTTTTAGTTTTTTAGCACTGGGAATCAAACTTGTTGGCACTTTACCACTGAGCAACATCTTCAATCTTTTTTATTTTAAGAGAGTGTCTCACTAACTTCTTAGGGACTTCCCTGAGATTGGCTTTGAATTTGTGATCCTCCTGCCTCAGCCTCCTAAGTTGCTGGGACTACAGGCATGTGCCACTGCATCTGGCTTTAATTTGCCCATTTTTAAATCAGGTTACTTACCTTTTTATTACTGAGGTATTGTTTTTAAAATATAAAAAGCTGCAGAAAAGTTTATAGTAATAGGGTGAGTGATTGGCAAACTATGCCTCATGGGCCAAATTTGGCCTGCTGCCTATTATTATACAGACTATTAACTAAAAATATATTTTATATTTTCTAAATAACTGAAAAATAAGGCTAGGGTTGTGGCTCAGTGGTAGAGTGCTCACCTAGCATGCATGAGGCACTGGGTTTGATCCTCAGCACCACATAAAAACAAAATAATGTGTCTACCTAAAACTGAAGATACATACATAAATAAATATTTTTTAAAAAAATAACTGAAAAATATCAGTTATTTTGTTTTGTGATATGTGAAAAATTATCTGTGAGCTTCCCCCAAGCCTTCAATTGGAATTGATTAATCTGCAATGTAATAACATACTAAAAGGCAAATATCAAGAAAAGAATCTAATATAATTCTATGAGTGCCTTCCAAGTGATGAATGTGCTCAATTAAAATTGTGTTTATGGGGGCTGGGGAATGTGGCTCAGTGGTAAAAGTACTTGCCTGGCATGTGTGAGACTCTGAATTCAGCCCCCAGCATTGCCTCCCCCCCAGAAAATCATGTTTATGAATATATATTCTATTTGTAGTATATATTTGTGCAAATAAGTACTTTTCAAAAATAAGAGACATAAGGGCAGGGATTGTAGCTCAGTGTTAGAGTGCTTGCTTAGCATGTGTGAAGCTTAGAGTTCAATCCTCAGAACCACATAAAAATAAATAAACTAAAGGTATTGTGTTCATATACAACTAAAAAACATAAATAAATAAAAAAAGACGAAAATCTCATTACAGATCAGCCTTAACATATGAACATTTGCAATTGATTTTCACAGTAGTGAACACTAATTTTGATTTCCAAATAAGCACAATATTATCCCTCCAATAAAATCTGTTCTCATTAGTAGACCTGTACAGAAAAGTTATACTCAGCAATATAATTTGAATTTATCAGTAAAAACTTGATGAAAATTTGATTTATCTTTTGCTATGTAAGTACCTATATGGTATCCTTGATTTTGCCTTTTGGCTCCAAAGCCTAAGATATTTGCTGTTTCCCTTTACAGAAAAAGTGCTGACACCTTGAAAAACTAATTTGTGTTATCCCTAATCTGATCATGATTTACTCTTCCTTATTCCTGATTTACAATTTCTTAATTGGGATGCTTATTTCTGATTTACTCTAAGCCAGTATTTCCCAAACTTGCCTCATCATAATAATTAGTAGGTGTAGATATATTTATTACAAACACATGCCATTCTTATTAGCCAGGTGCTGTATTTTATAATAAAGGAAATTGGAAAGTGCTTTTATACTATATTTACCTCTGAAGCCTTAGTCTGGCAGTATATTAAACTCCCCCATTAGTTCTCAATTCTTTACTTGCTACTTTGTTCTCAAGACTATTATTAGTTCTGTTAATCTGCTAATCCCCCGCCTCTTCCCTTAGTCCCGCAAGGGTAAAACACCTACCACCATCTGTTGCTTATTTCTTAGGTACACCTGCCTAATAGATAAAATTTTCAACTTTAGACAGTATGTACAAGCTTTAAGTCTAAGCTTATACCAGAATCTTTTATTTCAACAATAAGTGTTTTTTGGTTTAGGTTTTTTTGTTTTGTTTTTGTTACTGGGGATTAATTTTAGGAGCACTTAACAACCGAGCCACATCCCTGGCCCTTTTTATTTTTATTTTTATTTTTTTTATAGTTTTTTTTTTTAAGTTGTAATGGACTCAATACCTTTATTTTATTTATTTACTTATATGTGGTGCTGAGGATTGAACCCAGGGCCTTGCACGTCCGAGATGAGTGCTCTACTGCTAAGCCACAACCCCAGCCCCCCGCCCCCCTTATTTTTAATTTTAAGACAGAGTCTCACTAATTTGCTTAGTGCCTTGCTAAATTTGAATTCTCCTTCCTCAGCCTCTCATATCACTGGGATTACAGGCATGTGCCACCAGGCCTGGCCAACAGTAATAAGCTTTTTTTTTTTTTTAATATTTATTTTTTAGTTTTCGGTGGACACAACATCTTTATTTTATTTTTATGTGGTGCTGAGGATCGAACCCAGCGCCACGTGCATGCCTGGCGAGCGTGCTACCGCTTGAGCCACATCCCCAGCCCCAGTAATAAGTTTTTAATACAGATTTGAATCATCAATTTCAAAATTAAAAGCTGAGCTAAAATGTTAAATGATGATTAAATCTGTGTGACCTATGTTGTCCACATTTTACCTACTAATGAAAAAGATGTGACTACTATGTAATAATAATATTTATTGTGGGAATAGATCTCTCGTATAGAAAATGTTTTTATTGCTGGGCATGGTGGCACACACTGTAATCCCAGTAGTTTGGGAGGCTAAGGCAGGAGGATTGCAAGTTTAAAACCAGACTCAGGGTTGGGGTTGTGGCTCAGTAGCAGAGCATTTGCCTAGCATGCATGAGACACTGGGTTTGATCCCCAGCACCACATTTAAAACAACAACAACAAAAAAAACTAAATAAACCAAACTCAGCAACCTAGCAAGGCCCTGTTACAGAATAAAAAGTAAAAAGGGCTGGGATATGGCTCAGTGGTAAAGCACCCCTGGATTCAATCCTTTGTACCCAAAAAAAATAGTTTTTTTTTTTTTTAAAGAGAGAGAGAATTTTTAATATTTATTTTTTAGTTTTCAGCGGACACAACACCTTTGTATGTGGTGCTGAGGATCGAACCCGGGCCACACGCATGCCAGGCGAGCGTGCTACCGCTTGAGCCACATCCCCAGTCCTCTAAGAGACCTCATTTAACTAAGATTTATTGAAGAAAACTATTTCTTATCTTTTAAAGAATATTTTTTTCTGCATTTATTTTTGAACATAAAGTTGTCATCATGGACTTGGGCTGTGACTCAGCTGTAGCATACTTGCCTGGTATGTGTGAGGCACTGGGTTTGATTCTCAGCACCACATATACATAAATAAAATAAAGGTCTATCGGGCTGGGGATGTGGCTCAAGCCGTAGTGCGCTCACCTGTCATGCATGCAACCCGGGTTCCATCCTCAGCACCACATACCAACAAAGATGTTGTGTCCGCCGAGAACTAAAAAATAAATATTAAAGAAAAACAAAAATGAAACTGACAAAAGAAAATATTGATAACATGTACTTAAAAAAAATAAAATAAAATAAAGGTCTATCAACAACTAACAAACTATTTTAAAAAAAAATCTCTTAAAAAAAAGGGGGGGGGGKGGCTGGGGTTGTGGCTCACTGGTAGAGCACTTGCCTTGAATGTGTGAGGCACTGGGTTCGATTCTCAGCACCATATATAAACAAAAAATAAAGGTTTGTCAACAACTAAAATGAATAAAACTGTTGGGGGCTGGGGTTGTAGCTCAATGATAGAGCGCTTGCCTAGCATGTGTAAGGCCCTGGGTTTGATCCTCAGCATCACATAAAAATAAACAAATAAAAATAGGGGCTGGGGATGTGGCTCAAGCGGTAGCGCGCTTGCCTGGCATGCGTGCGGCCCGGGTTCAATCCTCAGCACTACCACGTACAAAGATGTTGTGTCCACCAAAAAACTAAGAAATAAATATTAAAAAAAATAATAATAAAATAAAGATATTGTTGGGCTGGGGTTGTGGCTCAGCAGTAGAGCACTTGCCTAGCACATACGAGGCCCTGGGTTCGAATCTCAGCACCACATAAAAATAAAAATAAATAAAATAAAGGTATGTGTCCAACTACAACTAAAAATATAAATATTAAAAAACAATAAAGATATTGTGTCCATCTGCAACTAAAAAAACCTGTCATCATTACCATTTTGCTTAGGATAGCCATATGGCTGAAGTTATAAACTAAAAATTATACATTTTTCTCACCTTGTCATCTCATTTCTCCATAACAGATGGGTCCATAAGAGATCTACCTCTAAGTCTAAACAAACTTCAAAGATCTTCCTGAAAGTTTTTTTGTTTTTTTGCAGGGTTAAGGATCAAACCCAGTGTTTCACACTTACTAAGCAAGCACTGTATCACTGAAACACATCCTTAGCTACTGAAAGATTTTTTTTTTCATTCTCAAAATTGTTGGCACTGGTGACCTATGCTAATTATGCAAACTAGAAATGTGGACCTTATTTTTATTTACTTAGTTTTTAGGATGAGAGTTATATATATCTTTATTTATTTTTATGTGGTGCTGAGGATCGAACCCAGGGCTTGCACATGCTAGGTGAGCACTCTACTGCTGAGCCACAACCCCAGCCCCAGAACCTTATTTTTAAATATTCAGATATTCTATTCTTTTTATATCGTAAGATAATTGAGGAAGCTATTAAAACATATTTCCAACAGCATTACTTATAAAAATTTTACAGGGGCTGGGGTTGTGGCTCAGTGGTAGAGTTTTCGCCTAGCATGCATCAGGCACTGGGTTCCATCATCAGCACCACATAAATGTAAAATAAAGATATTGTGTCTACCTAAAACTAAAAAATAAATATTTTTAAAAAATAAAAATTTACAAAGTCTCAAAAGGCAAGATTCTTTTCTAAATGTAGATAATTCTTAAGCAGGTGTAGTTTTGCATGCCTGTAATCCCAGCAATTTGGGATTGCAAGTTTGAGGTTAGCATGAGCAACTTAGTGGGACTTTGTCTCAAAATAAAAAATAAAATGGGTTGGGGGTGTGGCTCAGTGTAAAACACCCCTGGGTTCAAAAAAAAAAAAAAGATTCTTATCTCATAATACAAAGTTAGTAAAAGTTTTTTACATGTATTAACTAATGATATTTTGCCATCTGTTTGTGAATAAGTTCATTTTACATCCTAGCTCTAAAACATATAAGGGGTAGATCAAAACATCATGTCCTATTCTGCTACCAGAAGTTGGGAAGGAGAGCCTTTAAAATTTTATGTCAGTTCAAATTCATTATGGAATGAGGGAGGACATAAATATATAAAGAATCTCACTGAATCCTCACCCAATGATGAACTTCTTTATTTATTATGATTTTTTTTGGCCTGTTCTCAGAGGAATTATGGTCATGAGGGAAGAATGTAGCCTTTCTAAATATTAGTGCAAGTAAATATTGCCTCATTTACCTAAGGCTCCAGTGTAAAAGTAAATGGTTTTGCTTTAGATCATTTTTCATGTTGATTATATTTGCAGTTATGTGAAAACGGTGAGAGTTGTTCTTACCTTTACTTATGAAAATCATATTTAAAATCCTACTTTAATTTTTTACAGATGAAACCAGCCTGTATAAAAGCCCTTACTCGTATATTTAAAATATCTGATCAAGATAATGATGGTACTCTCAACGATGCTGAACTCAACTTCTTTCAGGTAAGTGATTTTAGTTTTAGGCATTATCATGTCTTTGTCTTTGTTGATAAAAACTATAAAATTTTTTTAAGCTTAAACAATAATTTGTTGCTTGCCTTAATCTCTTTCTTGTAAAACTATCACATGAAGCTACTTAAACCCTTATGGTATAAAAAACTCTTATGTGTAGGAATTGAGGGGTTTCTTTGATAGTTTTCATTTCATGGTATACAATGGGTATATTAAGAACTTGAAGTTTGAACTATGAATCATTTTGCTTTCTTGGTTTTGTGTAACGAAGCTATACAAAGACCCTTGTGTTTTAGAAACAGGATAAGGGGAGTTGGGAAGTTTCTTTTCTTCGAAGTAAATTATTCAAAGTGGGGAC